CACCTCTCCTCTCTTGTGCTCCCTGAGGCTGCTGGAGAAAACTGGCTCCGGTATTGGAAAAGGCCTCTCTGTCCCACACAAAGGCTCAGCCTTGCTGCCACCCTGCCTGGAGGCCCCTTGTCGCCCGAGGGGTCAGCACCTGGGCAGAGAAGCAGGTGACAGTGGCCTGCCTGCATCCTTCTACAGCAAGTTGTAAGAGTGTCTACCCGTCAAGGATCACGTGGCAGACTCGGGCATTCAAGCTACTGAAGTCCAGGTTTTCTTTGTGAGTGCAGACTTTACACAAATCAATCTATTGCTGTTCAGCTGACTGTAAAATTGGTAGATTTACTGTTGCAAAAAAGAAGAAGAAAGAAGAAAAACACAGTTTTCACTTCCATGTTGGCAGGGCATGGATGCATAAGGCTGCCAACAAAGCAGCCTTTAAAAATCTTTGCCGGGGGACTTAGCAGTTTGGGGGGGCGGGGGTGTTACACAATAACTCCAACGGACAGCAGACAGGCTTCTCTGTAAGCACACATGTAAAACTCCACACCCCAGAAACTTGTCAAAGGAGAGCAATTGGTCTCTAATTCTGTTTGCTGCAAGGAGAGTGACAGTCCAAATATTCCATCAATGGACTTATTGGCAGACCTGCCCTCCTGAAGGAGTTAGTAACCAGATGATGTCACGTGACATTGAAATGTGGTGCTGAGTCATATATGAAGTGTAAATGCCAGGTGATATCTTGGTCATGTTTTGCTGTGACCTCCACAATAGAAAGTGTGCAATGTCTTGTAAGTTTTCATTGTTCTGTGTGATGTGATACATGAGCAGTAGGAATTACTTGTTTAACGGTTTTAAAAATGAAGGCAGTTGGGTCTGAGGATGTATCTCAGTTGATAAAGTGCTTGCCAGGCAAGTATGAGTACCTGAGTTCAATTCCCAGCACCCATATAAAGAGTTGAGTGGGTGGTGCACGCTTGTCTTCCCTGTACTAAGGAGGCAGCAACTGGAAGATCCTTGAGCCTCCTGCCCAGCCATCCTAGTGTAATGGGGAGAGGTCCAGGCCAATGAGAGACTGTCAAAATTTGTGAAAAGGATAGTGCCTGAGGAACAACACCCAAAGTTGACTTCTGGTCTCCTGCTCCTACACATTTGTGCACACACACACACACACACACACACACACACACACACACACAATCAGTGATGAAAGTTAAATCACTCCAAAACTCACCATCTTACTTTTCCAAAGGAGACTTCTGAACCCATTTCCTGCTTCATTCAGTTGTGCAAAAAGACGATGCATGGAAGAGAAATGCATCTCCATTTGCAAATATTGCATTTAACACACATGAAAGCTTTTGAAAAATTCGTCATGATGTGTAACACTCCGACAGGTTTGCTATGCTCATTTACAGCTATGGACGTATTTTAATAATTGTGTCATCAGTTTGTGACAAAAGACACACTTGATCTGCAGTGTGATGCTGTGGGAGACTTTATACACAATGGAGAAATGTATTCTGGACCTAATTATAGTCTTAGGGTACATGAAGAGCCGCAGCACAGCTGTGGCTGCCCAATGCTCTCCAGGTCTTAGGGGAACCTGCCTAAGTAGCCATGTCATAAATGTAAGTCACACAAAGGATGATCCTTAAGTCCCATAAATGTTGAAAGCACAGCTAAACGTGCTGGTGTTTTTGTTTGGTTTTGTTTATCCAACATATAGGTGTTCACATGTTTGGAGCGGGTGACACACGGCCCCACCAGAGAGGAAACGGTCGACTTGAGGACTTATCATGATAGCTTGTGATAAGAGACTCACGGATTCATGGTAGCAGTCTCATGACATGGGGATGGCTGTCTTCAGGAAATTTTGAATGCTTTTCCTAATGCTCAGCCAAAGCCCACTCTTGTATCTTGTTTCCTACATCCCTTGCGCCATATCAGTAGACAGAAGGTAAATGTGTGTCTTCTCAGCCACTAAACCCACTCTGTATTGACAGTCATGGCCATGAAGCCATGCAGACTCCACAACATCTATGCAATTTCAAAAGAAATCCAAGGATTTTACTAGTGTGTGGTTTGCTTTTAAAACTGTTACTTCCCCTAGTCACCAAGCAAGAGGGAATGTATGTCTGTGTATAGTCAAACGTTCTTGTCAGCTTGTCCCAAGGCATGCTCTCTGGTGTCCTGGGTATCCTGGCAGCTCCTCTGGGAGGTTGGACTTATTGGCAGGTTTGCTGTGGACATCAGTGTCGCTCTCTTTGGTGTGTAAGAACCACTTGTTCTGAAATTAATTTGAGACAAAATTTTGAAAGACTTTTTTTTTTAAGTTTTCTGAGACAGGGTTTCTCTGTGTAACCCTGACTGTCTTGGAACTCTCTCTGTAGACCAGGCTGGCCTCAAACTCACTGAAATCCACCTGCCTCTGCCTCCTGAGTGCTGGGATTAAAGGCCTGGCAAGATCTTTTTAATAAAAGTGAAATTTGGAAAAAATATTAAGGACTTACAGACCTGTCAACTGCTAGTTAAACATTACATCCTGATAGGACCTTTTCTGGAACCATGAGACAGCTTTATTTCGAGAGACAAACATAACAGAGGCATCGATGGTTCCAGAAAGTCTTAATAATGAAACCCCCAATATTTGTCCAAAGAATCTGAAGTCCTTTTTTGACAGGCAATCCAGTGAGGGGTAAAGGTAGAAAGGCAGTCTCAGGGGCAGGCTGCTTGTTTTATGTTCCTCCAGAGCCTCCAAATCCTGCCACCACAAAGCTGAACCCATTGCTCCCAACGGCTCCTTAAAATAGACAACATCCTGGAGAGATGATCCAGTGGTTAGAGCACTGGCTGCTCTTCCAGAGGACCCAAGTTCAGTTCCCAGCACCACAGCTCACACCTGTCTCTAACTCCAGTTCTAAGGGATCGGACTCCCTCACACAGACATAAGTGCAGGCAATTACTAATGTCCATAAAAATAAATAAATCCATCTTTTTAAATAGGTAATATCCCATCTCATGGAGGCTAAAGCAGAGTTCTGGAGATGAAGTGGGGAGGGGGGAGGTGCGAGTCCTAAGAGCATGTCTGTAGCAGCCTTTCTCCTGCTTCTTGTTTGACTCCTCACGGAGCATAAAACCATGGTTCTAGGCCCAGTGCTGTGGCTCTTACCTTCTATCCCAGCACTCAAGAGGTAGAGACAGAAGGATCTCTGTGAGTTCAAGGCCTTCCTGGTCTACTTTGGCAGCTCCAGTAAAGCCATAACTATGCAGAGAGATCCTGTCTCAAACAAAACAAAACAACAGTTAAAAAAACAAAAAACCACCACCCTGTAGGTGTTAAGACAGCTAATGGTGGCAGCAGCTTCAGCCATTTGCTAGGTGGTGAGGCCTTCACAGAGGGTTACAGCAAGATGTTGAGAAGGTAGCAGCAGTTACCAGGGATATCTGTCTGGTTATATTTTTTAAGCCATAATCTTTTTTTTTTTTTTTTTTGGTTTTTTGAGACAGGGTTTCTCTGTGTAACTTTGGAGCCTATCCTGGCACTCGCTCTGGAGACCAGGCTGGCCTTGAACTCACAGAGATC